TGACAGAGATGCTGCCTCAACAGCCAAATACGGTAGACCAATAGGAAATTTCCTTCACTCCAGGAGGAGGGAAATACGAGTACAAAATATTAGCAAATATTATTAATGTTTCAGTAGCACTCAGAGGCCATAACTGAGATCATTGCCCCAGTGTGCTAGACACCCTTCAAAGACACAGTAAGAAACAACTCTTCCCCACGGATCTAACTATCTACATAGACTTGACAATGGACGGGAGGGGAAACAGGTAGGAAGCGAATTGCCCAAGGTCCCCAGGCAGGTCAGTGGCAAAGCCAGGACAGGGCAGGTCTCCTAAGTCCCAGTGTACAGCCATTCAAACCTGCTGCTTTTCTCCAAATGCTTCTTGCTAGAGACATATTTGTTCACTGCAAGGAAGCGTATTAGAAGGCTGCAGAAGGTCAAAACGCCGACATCCCTTTTGTGTGTAAAATCTCAAATTGTTCCATCAGCCTGAACCTGTGGTCTGTATGCCGCCCCCCTGCATGGTGCAGAGAGGAGCAGATCCACCTGGAAAACTGCATACAAGCTTGTGTTGCCCAACAGCCAAGTGGGGAAAGCAAACAGAGCCAGGCTTTGAGAGCAGGGGCATGACAGCCAGCGCGCTCCTTCGAAACACTGGCCCGTGTGTGGCAGGAAAAGTTATAGAGACTGGAAGCTGGTGGAAGCAGCTTTGATTCCAATTACGTGCTCTTTGGCTCCTCCCAGAGTTCCAGAATGAACTGGGATCAGGGAGCCAAGGGCTATTGGCCCTGCCAAACCATCTTGCCGTACAATGGTAATATCGGCTAACATTGGCTCAATCTCTCCACACAACTGCTGGGGTTCCATGGGGTTGGGGACATTCCCTTTGAGGCCTCTGGTCTTTCTTCAGTCCGCACCCCCACCAGTCTTTGGATAGGGAGCATGTGTGTGCACCGTACTGCCAACGGAGATGTTGAATTTGGCTGTTAATCCCCCACCCCCATGTGCACTTCTGCATAGGAGGGAAGCATATGGGCCTAACTATTTTACATCAAAGCCAGTAGTAAAAGACAGAGATGAAATTTAAAGGGTCAGAATAGCCCTTGACAAATGAATGGCCAATCAGCTGCTTACTGTATGCCATCTCCCTTTTAAATCTCGAGTTATCTTTTACTCACCCTATCTTTGATTATTTTTGGAAGAGTAGCTCTCACCCACCTTGTACATAAGTGATTTGTTTTCCATCCATCAGTCCCCAGTCACTGCTATCAAGGGTGCTATATTCCAAGTCCTACACCCATGAGTTAAGAAGAAAAGGAGGAGATCAGATCCTCAACTGGTGAAAATCAGCATAGCTCCATTGCCTTCAAGGGTTTTGTGCCAATGTACACCAGATTTGGCCCGATCCAATTTACCACCAAAAAAATTGATATCCTATAACATTTGCTTAGCTTACAACCAACAGAGTGTTGAAGTAATATGAATACAAAACATCTGTAGATGTTTTACTTAATGGAAATGGATTCTGATCTACTACTGTTCATTTGTCAATATCAGCTAATACAATTATGTCATTTAAATGTATCCAGGAAGTGAAATATTTTTTTCAATATAAGCAGCAAAGGTTCTATTGTTATACTTTTAAATCTTTGTATTTCATTTTTAAATGTAACTGCATATGTTGTTACACCGTGTTTTCTATTCTAGTACGTGCATCTGATCTAGTCATTATTGTCGTTATTCTTTCATAGGTCTGTTATTTTCAATGTAATTAATAAACAGCTAGAAGTTTGTTAAGATATATTTTGTATTTCATAGATCGAGAGATTTTAAGGCCAGAAGGAATGACTAGCTCATTTAGTCTGACCTCTATAAAAACGGCATAGCATTTCATCCAATTATCCCCATATTGAGCTCCATAACTCTTGTTTGACTAAAGCTTATCTTCCAGAAAGCCAGCCAGTCTTCACTGTGTGTTCTTCTCTGATGTTTACTTTCCTGTATTTTCATTTAGTCCAATACAGTTAACACCAATCTGTGTGCTTCCAAGTGATCTAAACAGTTAAACTACATTTTATCAGATTTTCCATATTTGTTCTACTTGGCATATTGGCTACTCTGTGGTTGTAATTCATGTCATACCTATTATCTGGTTTCTGAGCTGAAGGGTGGACCTCTTCATCTATCATAATGTAATTTTCCGTTGGCTAAGAACAGAGAAATATCATTTTTGTAGATTGTTTTTATTTGGGAAGGCACTCAGCTACTACCGGGGGGAGGGATAGCTCAGTGGTTTGAGCATTGGCCTGCTAAACCCAGGGTTGTGGGTTCAATCCTTGAGGGGGCCACTTAGGGATCTGGGGCAAAAAATCAGTACTTGGTCCTGCTAGTGAAGGCAGGGGGCTGGACTCGATGACCTTTCAAGGTCCCTTCCAGTTCTAGGAGATAGGATACCTCCATTAATTAATTAATAATTCATTAATTACTGTGCAGAGTGCTAATATTAGAACTAGATAGATAGGTAGATGGACCGAAGGATATTTTTTTTCCAGATTAACTCTTTCTATAAGCTTTAGGCTATGTCTACATTTGGAGCTAGGGGTCTGATTCCCAGTTCATATAGACATACTTGTGCTAGTTCTCATCCAGCTACCATGCTAACAATAATAGGGTAATAGGGGTAGCACAGGAAGTAGTGAGTGACAGCATAGGTTTGCCATACTGGGTATGTAACCAGGTTCTGGCGGATTTGTACTCAACACAGCAAGACTGTGTGCTGCCCTGGTTACACTACTATTTTTAGCATGGTAGCTCCATGAGTATGCCTGCCACACCTCTACCTCCAAGTGTAGACACACTCTTAGAATTCTCCAGTTCAGTTATAGGCTGAAATTCTTTATCAACAATAACTGATAGTATGGGTGATATCCTGGCCTCATTAAATCAATGGCAAAACACTGACTGACTTCAGTGGGGCTAAGATTTCATCCTATATTTATAACCTCTACCCAAAATCACATGGGTCTGCATTCCAAAATCAAGGGCCTTGTCCAAAGTTAATTGAAGTAAATGGGAGACTCACCATTGGCCACATAACTGCTTTAGCAACTAAAATGGGTTTTGTATGATGTCCCAAGTGCAGAAAGGTGCCATGACATGTCCATGTATGACATCTGGGGTATTACTACTTTTCTTCTGCTTTGATTCAGGTTAACCTCCATAGTCATATCAGCTAGGCGTAGGATCACATAATAGATCAAGTATCTCTTAGTAATGTATATATTCTTGTTATCCATACGTATATTTTGCTATTGTGTGTGCTCATTCTGTTTCCATTGAAGTCAAGCCATTAATTTCCGTGGGAGTAGGTTTAGGCCCTATTTATTCAGTTTTGTAGTCCCATATCTCTTTGCCATTTGGCTGTAACTGGTAAGGCGAGATCAGCATTATAACAGGAAAATAACGTATACAGGTCTGATCCTGCAAATACTTATGCATATGCTTAACTTTATGTACTGTGGATTGTTGTAGTCAAGCCAATTGGATTACTCACACATGTAAAGATAAGCATGTGCATAAATTGCTGCAAGATCATGGCCTTAGCCTACAGATTTTATTTTTGGTATCTTTGCCACTGTCAATGTATTAATTTTAACGCATTCTCCTTTCCATTCTGGTGATTTCCCAGATATTGTGTAGTGCTTCTTTGTGTTCAGCAAAATAATTGGTTGACTGGTCAATTATATTTAAGTAATGGTTGATTTAAAGGTAACAGAGCCTTATTTTCAGTGCAATCGTGTTAATCCTTTATCTTGCCGATGTTTAATCGAGACACATGCTGGGGTATCCCACAATGACGTTCATTGTCCATAAAACAAGCGGGATGATTTTTTCTGTGCCTACGCTTCATGAGCCATAGCTGCAAGCCTGATTTTAATATGTGGGTTGAATTCAGCCCTCATTTGGTGCTCGGCCAGTAACATCCTGGAGATTGTGCTAGAAGAGAAGTGTTTATGGGAGAGAGGAGTTCCTGCCATTTAACAGCGTAAAATGGTGCAGAGTTTGGTGAGACTCTTGAGATGGAAAACATCAATATGGTGCCACTGCTTTGCTCAAATTCTATGAAAAGACATTCAGTGGCAAATGCAGCAGTACTAAGGGCATGATGGAAATGTGTGTTGTTTTAACCAGACCCTTATTTATAAAATCAAGGCCTCTTTTAGTTCAGTGTGGAACATCAGAAAAAGGGCTAATACTGTATTGAACTAGGTGGGGGAAAGGGTTCAAATGACCAGGACCCAGGAAGGTTCTTACATAATCTTTAGTCCATGAAGAGTCCCATTGATTTCATTCTTTCTGAGCGTGAACACTTTCCTGAAATGGAGCCTTGCACTGGTATAATTTCTTTGGCTTCAATGGTATTAGCATAGCTGAGGAGAGAATTCTGCTCTGAACATATAACATACCGTGCATTGCATTAAATGTAGCCAAATGCCAAACCTTTTCTGCCACCAGGATATGTCAGCAGCTCTCGAGTTCTGCTGATGAAGTCCTGGCATTTTGTTGTTTTAACTTCCCCTTGTGCATTAACCAACAGCTCCAGGGTAGATGACATTTCACATATTTTTCATATATGGACATGTTTAAACACCTAGCCCAGATAGATAACTGTGGAATTCATTGCATTTCATTCCTGATTCCGGCCCTGGAATTTCAGGGACTGACTTGTCATAGTAGAGAATCAAGATAAAGGGAGTAAGTAGGACGTGTTGTTTCAAATGCTGGTTTAAAAAAAATAAAAAAAAGCAGCACATCACAATAGCAAGTTAAATATAGAAATGGATTAGAGAGCCATTGTTTTCAGTCCTGCTACATAAGACTGGACTCTCAAAATGGAATGCCACTTGACCTTTAATGTCTCATCAGTCCGTGCTTGTATTTAACTGATGCAGGGAGGACACATTTCCCCTTGGAAGTGTCCTGTGTCGACATGACAGTTGCTGCAGCTGGGTCACACAATGTTCAGGAGGCATAAACCCAGTGCTGCAGAGCACAAGAAGGACTTTGCTGTGCATGGAGCCGCACTGCCGGGGCCACAGAATGACATGAGGTCTTTTTTCAACTTGTCTCAGCTTGTACTCTCTGCTGGCCAGCTCAGATCACCGCCCATACTCAGGCATTCAAAAATCACTTACTTTGAAGTGGAAATCCTTGATGCCCAAAGTAAGAGGCAGATCTGTGTGGTGGATAAGGTGAGTGTGTGTCATTTTCGGCACACTGCTGAGTGCGTGATTCAAAAGATGCCGTTATGGTTTACTTTTTCCTCTAGTGTAATATTATCCTAACATGGATTTAATCTTGTTCATCCTACCGGGACATACTCAGAATGTCTCCTTATTCACTGTCCTTTGATTCTTTTCTCTTGTGTTCCAAAACCTTTGCAAATAAATACGTTTGGACTTTTTATACCTGCTGACTGGTCAGCAGAATCAAGCAGATACTTTGCTTAGGTTTTATAGTTTATGAGATTGCAATGTTTATTTCAGGGCCTAATACTTAAACAGGCACTTTAGAAAAGGTAATTCAGTTTTATAAGATATTTGCAAAGACTTGAATCACTGCAGTACTGTAGGTTCTTTCTAGTGTCCAAATGCATTGAGTAGAACCCCATTTATCCAAAGGGGAACCGGGATCCAGAGTAGATTTTCACGTAGGGCAGTTTGGCTAAGAGAGATTTTTGTGTTAATGACGTACATCCTGGGGCTTAAGTTACATTCAAATTATGGACAAGTGTGGCAAAGGGATGGGATAAGCTTGGATCCTACCACATAAGTAAATGCTGGCTTGAGAAAACACCTCAAGAGACTTTATCTAAAAATAAACATTTTCACCACAGATTTCTATTGCAGATTCGGAGGCTGGATTACCCATGGCTTTTGGGGAAAATCAAAGCTATTTATTAATGTTGGATAATTACAAATAGAGGGTCAGCTGGAAAAAAAATCAGCATTGAGTCAATGGAGCTATTCCAGTGTACACCAGCAGGCAATCTGACCTATTGAATTTTGCACGGAAAATTGTAAAATACAGAATATTTCTTTAGAGTATAGAACATTAGCATGGCACAGCAGAATTATGAGACTTCTCATTTGGCTAAACAGTAATGGTTTATTATCTTCCTTACTGAAGATTCTTGTGTCCCCGTCCCCCCCCCCCCCCCCACACACACACTGGAACAAATAACTCAGACTTCTGAAGATATTAATTTTAACATCGTTTATATGTGCAGGCTGGGATACACCAAAAAATTTCCAGCATTCATGGTCTTTCAAAGCACCATTCTGTAATATAGATATCTAGTTTATATTAAATAAATCCATTCGTTTGCATTAATATTGCAAAATATTGAATGGTCAACAAAGATATAATACATTATTTATTATTTTTTAATGTGTGATTATGTCTGTACTGCAAAACTAACTAGATCTCCTATAATAATAATAATAATAATAATCAATAATGTGTTTTTTGAAAATATACTGAATAAAGTCTCCAATCCAAAAAACACCCCAAAAAACGTAAGCATTTACCTAACTTTAAGTTCATCAGTAGTCCCATTGACTTCATGGAATTTACTTCAATGGGAGCAGAGTTACGCGAATGCTAAGCACTTTGAAAAATCCCACCCTAACATGATTTGTCTAAACATTACTGTGGTGTACTGGAATAGCTACCGGCCAGGAGGCCTTGGTTTTAGTCCTGATACAGCAGAACCCCGTTTATCTGATCTAATTGGGACTGCGGCCACATCGGATAATCAAAAATCCAGATAATCTGGAGATGGGACAGTGCGAGCTGCAGCGCTACAGGAGAGAGACCCCACTTCTGGACCTGTGCGCTGGTTGTTCCATTAATACGGAGAGACGAATAGTGTAGGGTCAGATAAACGGGGCTCTACTGTACTGATTTTTGGGCTTCCTTGAGATAAAACCTCCCAAACTTTAGGCTCCCCCGCTTCAAGAGAGGACTCATAGTAATTACCCACTTCATACCTGAGTGATGGTTGTGACATGCTCCATAAATGCCAAGTAAAAAAGGCTCAGTTGCAGAGAGGGCAACTGAATTCATGGGCTTGTGGCATCTAGCCAGAAAGCCAGGGCCACCTGTGTATTGGCTGCCAGGAACGCCTCCCCTACCCCACTTCCAGGCATCGTACAAGAGATCATTGAAAAAATAACACAAGCCTCAGATTTCCAAAGCTCCCTGAGGAGTTTGGATGTCCAATTCCCATTCATCTGAGTGTTCAAACCCCTTAGTATACTATGGAAATCCCATTCCAAAGCAACTCCAAAGGCAGAGATTAATACATTCATTCTGTATTGCAACTAGAGCTCATTGGTATCAGTGCACCATATTTCTATAGTTTATTACAGCAATGAAGAGAACATTTCACTAAATTTCACATAACCTGCTGCTTAATTAAATGGAGAATAGAACAGACCTAACATGACACGTCTAATGTCTGCTTTCTATTTCTAATATAATTGCTATTAACTTCACTTCTCAGCCCTGTGTGTAATTATTTCCTGTCAAGATTAATAATAGGCGGGCACACCACGCACATATTTTAAAATATATACATTCTTATTCCGTCGTTGCAAATTGTTAACAATTCAGAGTATGCTGCTTAGCAAATGCATGTGTAATATTCCCAGTTTAATAAATCTGACTGGAAAACTAAATCAATAATGACAGAGCAAGTGCCTCTTATTCTCTCACCCTTATGGAAGCTCAGGTGGAGGGAAGAGATGATTAATCCCTCTGAAGATAAGTACCAGGCACTGCTACCCGATGGGTTAGTTGTCATCATTACACTGGCACAGAAATCCCATTACAGTTAATAGAAGATCTGTGCATTCAGTAAGGAGAATCCTGGCGCTATAGACTGTATAACAAGGAAGATCGTCTTGTGGTTAAGGCATCAGAGTGGGATTTAGGAGATGTGGGTTCAGTTGATCATACAGACTTCCTGTGCAATGTTGGGTAAATCACTGGATTACGCTGTGCCTCAACTTGCCTTCTGTAGAATAATAATATTTCCTTTTTCTTGTCTATGTGGACTGTAAGCTTTTTGGGGCTGTCTCTTGGTATGTGTCTGTAGCATGCCTAGCACAAAAAGGGCCTAATCTTGTTTAGGCCCACTTTGCGTATTCACTAATAATGATAACGGGATACTTAAATATAGAGATGTTGACTGATTCCTTCTTTCTCTTAATATCTCTGGGGGAAAGATGCCAGACTGTAGTTGCACAAAGAATAAAGTTTCTGCAGGGAGAGGTATAGGAAAGGAGGGTTAAGAGTAATTCAGCAGTGCCTGTACCAAATATTTAACAATTATGAGTCAGGAGTTCCACCCCTCACTCCCCAAAAAATCATGAGATTGGCTTAAAAATCTTGAAGTGTAAACACTAATAAATGTTAGATTCTTTTTACATTTTTATGGTTTCTGAGCTTGTAGGATACACTTGCTTCAACTTTTCAGGCTTTTCTCTGAAACCATGAAGGCTAGAAATATATCTTTTTAAAGTTGAAATTCTCACAAAATCCCCTGTCTCCAGGAGCTGGGGCTTTAAGAAAAACATCTAATATTGCAAGACTTGTGATAAAATCCCAAGAGTTGGCTGCACTGGTAATACATTTTGCATAGGTGTATGTATGCCATAGATGCACTCTACACAATTAATGATAATTAATAATACCTAGCTCTTGGGACTCTGCTATGAATGTTGTTATACAAGTGAAGTGAGAGACAGATAAAAATAGCTGCACTCAAGGATCAGAGCCCCATCGTACTATGCACTGTATGCACATATTGTGAATAGACAGTCTGAGCCCCAAAGAGCTTACAATGTATATCAGATTTAGCCTGCAAGGTGATGAGCATTCAAGGATTGGCATGGACTGCACCCTCAGCAAGTTTGCAGGTGACACTAAATTGGGAGAAGTGGTAGATACGCTGAAGGGTAGGAATAGGATACAGAGGGACCTAGACAAATTAGAAGATTGGGCCAAAAGAAACCTGATGAGGTTCAACAAGGACAAGTGCAGAGTCCTGCACTTAGAACGGAAGAATCCCATGCACTGCTACAGACTAGGGACTGAATGGCTAGGCAGCAGTTCTGCAGAAAAGGACCTAGGGGTTACAGTGGACGAGAAGCTGGATATGAGTCAACAGTGTGCCCTTGTTGCCAAGAAGGCTAACGGCATTTTGGGCTGTATAAGTAGGGGCATTGCCAGCAGATCGAGGGATGTGATCGTTCTCCTCTACTCGACATTGGTGAGGCCTCACCTGGAGTACTGTGTCCAGTTTTGGGCCCCACACTACAAGAAGGATGTGGAAAAATTGGAACGAGTCCTGCGGAGGGCAACAAAAATGATTAGGGGGCTGGAGCACATGACTTATGAGGAGAGGCTGAGGGAACTGGGATTGTTTAGTCTGCAGAAGAGAAGAACGAGGAGGGATTTGATAGCTGCTTTCAACTACCTGAAAAGGGGTTCCAAAGAGGATGGATCTAGACTGTTCTCAGTGGTACCAGATGACAGAACAAGGAGTAATGGTCTCAAGTTGCAGTGGGGGAGGTTTAGGTTGGATATTAGGAAAAACTTTTTCACTAGAAGTGTGGTGAAGCACTGGAATGCGTTACCTAGGGAGGTGGTGGAATCTCCTTTCTTAGAGGTTTTTAAGGTCAGGCTTGACAAAGCCCTGGCTGGGATGATTTAGTTGGGCATTGGTCCTGCTTTGAGCAGGGGGTTGGACTAGATGACCTCCTCAGGTCCTTTCCAATCCTGATAGTCTATGATTCTATGAATCCAGGAAAGCTTCTCCATTCCTGTTTAACACTGGTGAAGTGAGTTCCAAACATTTTATCAATATGTGTTTGTAATGTGTGTATTATTCATGAATGTTGAAGCATGAGTGTATTCTACAAATGACTGTCAGTAAAAATGTAGTCATATATTTAAATTAAATCTCAAAACACTTCTAAAGAAGATGGGGAGAAGAAGGGTTCCACCTGTAGTATCAGTGGTATTTATGGTGGGGAGAATATTTTAGTATTTTTATGTTTTTGTATTGGGGAAACTTCAGGGATTAGAGTCTGGAGATTTTCCTGAGAAATTTCAAATGGTCCTATCTCCAAAATGTTTTTGTCTGGTTATTCTTCAAAGTTTCCCCAAACTTCTCTTCTAGGAG